TCCTGCAGTAAAGTGCTCTTTGCAAAGCCCAAGACCAGTGGGGCATGAGCCCTGCCTTCTTGCTTTTCTGTAAGTCTGTTGATAAGTTTGCTGCATGCACTGTTAAAATGTTGACTTACACACTTCCAGCAGCAGTGGGCTTCCAATCTGACTGCTCTTTATTAACATGGCCGAAACATAGTTGCTGTTCTACAAAAGACAGCCAGGGATTCTTATAGGGAAACCTTCTCTCTGCCTTTTGTTTTGAGACAGGGTTTTACAATGTAGCCTTGACTAACCTGAACCAACTAAGTAGACTAGGCTGGCCTCAAACCCAGTGATAGACCAGCCTGTGCCTCTTTTGTGCTGGAATTAAAGGGAAGCACCACCCCACTTGGCAACAAAACCTTCAAAAACAACAACAAAGTAAAAAAAAAAAATGTTTGTTTTGTAGTCCAAGCTTTCCCCCAACTCTCATGCCTTTGCTTTAGCCTCCTGAGTGCTGGAATCACAGGATTGAGCCCCTGCCTAATTACAGACTACACTTTGAAATCCCACACAGAGGCTCGATGAACATTGCTTTGGAGTTTACACAGAGGAGACAGAAATGCACTGCTTTCCTATCCCATTTGCCTGTAGACTGTAGACTGTACTTATGGTGTGCCCTTCAGGCTGTGGCTGAAAGGATGCCAGGGCTGGCCCAGAGGGCAGGCCATGATAGTTACAAAGGGAGCCGCTGTCTGCCTCAGTCAAGAAGAGGCTTCCTCATGGCCTGAAGTGCAGCCCATGCTCATCCCCAGGGCAGAGGAGAGATGCTAAACCTCAGGACTGCTTCAGCCCAGGACCCTTCTCTCTTAAGGTCTTCACACTGGCCCTAGAGAGGGCACACAATAGCAGCCTATGGCAGACTGTGACTGTCCCACGTGACTTTGCTCCATCAGGTTCTGTTACTCAGAGTCAGTCACCATCCAAACGTGAAAAATTCCAGAGATGACCAAACTAGATTTTAGTCTTGAAAATTAGAAACAATATGTTTTAAGTTGTAGACCATTCTCTACAGCGTGAAGAACTCTCATTCTGTCAGACAGTCCTGTTGGGGCTGGGAGCCTTGCCTTTTCCCAGAGTGTGTACACTGTTTGTGCCAGCTGCCCATTAATCTCTTAGAAGCCATCCTGTGATGGTGAAGGGTGGGGTTACACACGTAACTCAAGCCCTAAAGAGACCTTAGAAGATGGCCAGTGGGACGATTTAATAGTGAAGATATGGGGTTCCCTCTCTGGCTTTGACAGCAGAGGGAACCTCATAAGAGCAATCTCCCCTACATTCTCTAATCAGAGATTTTATTCTTATTTAAAAATTTAGAACATCATCTTGTTTATACATGGGAGGGGAGTGTCACACACACATGAAAGCCTGTGTGACACTGCCAGAGAACAAGTTTGTGGAGCTGGTTCTTTCCTTTCCATGTTTATGTGAGTTCTCTGGGACTTGAACTCCGGTCATCAGGCTTTTGCCACAAGCACTTTTACCTGCTGAGCCATCTTGCTGGGCATTTTTTTTCCAGACAGGAATTAATGTAAACCAGGTGGTCTGGAACTCCCGATATAGCCAAGGCTGGCCTTTGATTTCGGATTCTCCTGCCTCTACCTCCCAAGTAGAGTAGTGAGGGTGACAGGCACGTGTCACCATACCAAGGATACAGGATGGCCAATGTAACAGAACCCTGCCATCCACCACAGCTCTTAGCTATGGGCAAGTTCAGTGCCAGCATGGTCACCTGTCCATTTCTATGGAGAACTGGCTGGACTTAGAGACTAAAGGGCTTGCCCAAGACACTATGCCAGGAAACAGGCTACAGGGCTGTGAATGAGGCTTCTGTGTGTGTGCTGTGGGATTAGGGGTTTCCTCCACTCTCTTTTGCATTCAAATAGGACAACCGTGAGCAGTTGGCAAGACTGCTGTTGGGAGCTTGTAAAAGAGGTAGGGGAAAAAAAAATCCAACTGCCTAGTCAGAGAGGCCTTTTCTTCAGCTGATGTCTGACCAGAAAAGCTTGTTAGGAAAAAGCCTCCCAGCTGTGAGTCAGGGGCAGCATGTGGGGGTGGGGCCTGCTTAGGCCCGGAAGTACCCTGCTGGGATGCTTGATTAGGATGAAAAAGGAAAGAGACACAGGGCTGTGATAGCAGGGCCTGCGATACTCAGAGAGGAGCAGGATCCGCAGGCTGTCTGCCTCAATGGGTGTTGGCAAAGGTGGGGCCTTGAGCATTTTTTTCTTGGTTCTGGCTTTCTCTGAGAATGCCAGAAGGCTCACCATGCATACTCCAGCATAGTGTCCTCCCCTTCTGTCATAGAGAAGCAGAGACTAGTTCAAGGTCACAGACAAGGATCCAACCCACACAAACTCTCCCTCTCTCTTCCCTCCACTCCCCTCAAACCCCTCCTTCAACGACTGTCTGTCATCTCTCTATCTCTGTGCATGTGTGGGTGGGTGTGTTTGCAAATGTGTATCTGTGTGTGTTTGTAGGCCAAAGGTCGACAGCAAGTGTCAATGCCTCTCCACCTTATTTTTCTGAGACTAGGCTTCTCACTGAATCAGCTAATAATGCTGACCAGCTAGTAATCTCCAGGGTTCCTTCTGTCTCCCTCCCCGTACTGTGAGCACAGCTGCACCCGGCTTTGGGGATCAAACAGAGGTCCTCAGGCTTGCATCCTGCTCCAGGTAACTCATACAGAGAGAAAACTGTTGTTATTCTATTCCCCAACTGAGAACGTCGAGGCACCAATGGACCAAGATCACACAACTAGTTAGTGGTGGAGCTGGGAGAAGCAAGCCAGTGTTTTAGTTTCCCAGTGATGCTAAGGAATGGTTAGGACTGTAGCAAACTCAAGGTGCAGGTCTCACCTGAGCTCAGCCCTGGACAAGGGTTATAGGAATGGAATGTGGGCCTCTTCTGGTCGTGCTGGATCTCCTGATTTCTTTTTTTAAAACAGAAATTGTAGGCTGGGTTTGGTGGCGCACACCTTTAAGCCCAGTTCTCCAGAGTCAGAGTCAGTTGAAAGTCCGTAAATTCGAGGGCAAGTCTAGTCTACAGAGTGAGTTCCAGTACAGCCAGGGCACAAAACTAAATCAACCAACTAACCAACCAACCAAACAACCAACCAAACAAACAAACAAACAACAACAGAGATTGTAAATCTGGGGTTTAGAATGAAACTCCCTGATCGGTTATTAAAAATGTATATATATTTTTAATTTTATGTGCATTGCTGTTTAACCTGCATGTATGTCTGTGTGAGGTGTTGGATCCCCTGGAACTGGAGTTACAGATAGTTTGTGAGCTGCCATGTGTGTGCTAGGAATTGAACCCAGATCTTCCGGAAGAAAAACAGTGCTCTTAACCCATGAGCCATCTCTCCAGCCCCCTCAAACTCCCAGATTGTTGCCCAGAGGTTACTGTGATTGCTGTAGGTGAAGACAGTGAGTTTGAGACCTTACAACCCCTGCCTGGCTCAAACACAAGATGACAGGGATGGGAACAGTTCTAGGCTGGCATGGAGGCAGGGCAAGTGGAGGAATGACAGACCTTTCCAAGGACTTGGCCACACTCTGTCATCTTCATCATTCATGTTCCCTGAAGATGCAGTAATGTTCCCTAGGAGGGGATCCAAAAGCCTTACTGATCCTTGTGGGACTGCGGCCTGAGCATCTCTGCACTAAAGAGAGAATAGGCTATCACTAAACACCGCTTCCCGGAAACTAGAAGTGTGCCCTGGCTACACGGGGCTACTCTTTGATATATCTCTCCTGGCACCACAGTGTTTCCATCTGACTTAGCACTTGTCTTATGGGGCTCCACTCATTCCTGGGGAGCAGGGGGAGTGACCAGTAGTTATGGCTCTAACATGGACCTGAAGAGTTACAGTGACAGGGCACCAGGGAAGACCCAGAACCCCTGACCTCATTAGTCACCCTCGGGGGCCCAAAGCACCGAAGGTGACTTTCAAATGCTGCATTTTGTGGGCCATTTGCAGAAAGAAATTTGTGGGTAAGGGCATTTGGAAAGTTGGTTATGCAACAGAGAAAGTCCTTTGTTGCAGGAAATAGCAAAAATATTAAATCATGTAATTATGTTTGCCAAAGGGCAGCCCTGTGGCCCTAGAAACACTTCCTGTTGACTTTCTCTCTCTCTTTTTTACATATATTTTTGTAAAGAGTGTTATTGAGAACATTCTTTGAGACATTCTTCTGTTCCATCTTTCTTTAGGGCTTTCTCTCATCTCTCCTTGATTCCATAGTCCTTTTCTCTCAAGGGATTGGTTTACTTATTTTTGAGAAGGAGTCTCTCATATTCCAGGTTACTCTTGAATTCCAGGTAGTCAAAGAGGTTGGCTCAAACCTCTGGTCCTCCTGCCTCAGTGCTGGCATTACAGGCATGCACCAGTATCCCTGGCCCAGGCCTGGTTTCTCTTGTATTTCCTAGGCTAGCAGTCATGGACTGAGCCACACACCCAGCTCTCCAGGGGGCTTTTCAGAATTGTAGTTTTCTGCTTTCTGTAGATTGAGTAGTTTAAAAACAGAGATGGTTAATAAAGCATGGAAGGAGGGGACACCGCACATCTGTCGCTGTCACCCATTCTCTGGGTTCTAGGCTGAGCACAGGTGTCTAGCCCTGGTCCTAACTCAGGAGTGACTTTAGCTGTTGGGATTTCCAACCCATATCGATGTTTACCTTGAGGCAGAGGGACAAAGGCGAGAGTAACTTTCTCTAGGACGCAATTGTTCTTCTGCCTGAGGTACACACGCTGTGGGGGAGGGGGAGGGGAAGCTCCTGAGGGTCTGGGCAGAAGTGGCCACTTTTATGGCCTTCCTGTTTATGGTGAGAAGTAAGCATCCCAGGAGCCAGGTTGTCTCCTTCAACAGCTGGCTGGGGGCCTTCTTTCTGGATGGTGGTGGGAGTGGGATCCTCTGGCTATGATGTCATGAGGTGTGTTGTTCTAAACTAGCGCTTTTGCTTCTCTCCAGGCCAGCTGATTCACTGCGACTCGACTTGATGTGGGTAACTTTGGGGATATCTGTGCACAATCTGGGTCTGATCTCAGCTCTGACACGGGATAGCTGTGTGATTTCAGGTGAGACCTGTGCCTCCGAGCCTCTGTTTGTACGGTAAGCCTCCCTGGGAGGGACTTTGGAGAACACACAGATCCATTTGTCTGCCATGCAGTAAATGTCAATCCGGGTTTATTGCTAAGATTTTTCATCTTCCTTTCAGACTCAACCCGAGGCCATGGCGGTGGGGTTTGTGGACGTGGACATTTGTGGGATTGTGGTGGAGGGGAACCTACCTTCATCCTTTGGAACTCTCTGCCTCCCAGGAAATGCAAGCTGTGATGGACCACAAGGTACCTAACTAAGATGAAGAATATGGTGTCAGGGCGGCAGACAGCGGGAGAAATCAATAAACTATAATTATCAAGAACAGTGTCTGAGGGTTGGTGGTGGGAACAGACACAGATGGGAGGAGTGGGAAGATGCCGGAGGGAGACCAAGACACACTGACAGGTTCAGAAGTGTGCAGCAAAAGAAGCAAACAGGAAAAGCATGATGTAGCTGCCTGGCCTCCCGGTGGAGGGAGGTAAACACAGAGCCAGCGTGGTCCTTACTATTCTAAGTTCTCACACACACCACGCCTCCAACTTACAAACGCAGGGACAAAAGAAGAGCCCATATGCAGTATCTAGAAAGGAAGCTGCGTACCTCCTCGATGCAATGGTCAGATTGCTGGCATCCACTTACAATGTTTAATGTATGAATTTAGTGATGCTTAGATGCTGAACCAACGGAGATTATAACGTGTTAGGTTAAGACAAGACTTCAGCCTACCGGGATCACCACCCTGGGAACTAGCTCCTGTACCACTGACACAGGTTCGCTGTCCTGCCTGGAGCCTACCTGGGAGGCTCTTGCCATACTGGTACCTGCCTGATATCCATGAATACTGCCAGCCTGCCACTTATAGTCTTTGCTTTTTTTTTTCCTAAGACTTCATTTTTTTTCTTTTCTTTTTAAAGAACGTTTAATTTTACAGCAAAATTGAAAGGCGGGCACAGAGCTTTCCTGTATACGCTAGCCTCATGTGTGGCCTGTTTGCTTTTTAAAGCTATCGTCACCCCGATGACCAACGCTTGCCATTTGGATATCATCCCTGGGGAGGGATTGCTGGTTATGTGGGTTCCCTTGCCCCCTTTCTCTTAATTTAATCTGGTTTCCTTTACCAGTCTGTTTAGGGGTGGTGGTGGCTGCAGGTCCTCTTAGGTCTGTGAAAAACCCTCCTGGGAATGGTTTTTCTAATTTTCAAGGATGGTGCGCTCCTGATGTGTTTTATCCTGTTTCTGGTGGTCCCCGGGATGAACTTACGGCCTCATTCATGCCAGGCATTCTACCCCCAGCCCTCACTTTATGTTTTCCATCTTAGTAATTTGTCCAAGCTGGGCTTGAACTCATTCTGTAACCCAGAAAGTCCTCCTCCTTCAGCCTATAGAGCAGCAGTTCAGTTTCAGCCCCTTTGGGGGTCAAATGACCCTTTCACAGAGGTCGCCTGAGACCATTGAAAAACACACCATGTTTACGGTATGATTCGCAACAGTAGCAAAATTACAGTTATGAAGTAGCAATGAAATGATTTTATGGTTGGGTCACTACAACACAAAGAGCTGTATTAAAGGGTCACAGCATTAAGAAGGCCGGGAACTGCTGATATAGGATATCAGGATTGAAAAGGTGTGCTCCAATAGGCCTGCATCTTCCTATTTCTAAAAAAGTTTTATTTATTTACTTTATGTGTGTGAGTCCTGTATCTGCATGTACACCTGCATGCCAGAAGAGGGCATCAGTTCGCATTGTAGATAGTTGGGAACCACCATGTGGTTGCCAGGAATTGAACTCAGGACCTCTAGAAGAGCAGATGCTGAGCCATCTCTCCAGCCCATCATGTCCCTATTTTTGAAGACACCTCCCCACCCCCTTTTAGATCTGGGGACAGAACCTGGTGAATACAAGACATCCACTCTCTCACTGAGTTACAATTCGGTTCTGGAGAGCACTTCTTTACCTGGTGAACACAATCAATCAAAGTTACTTTACATTTGGGCTTTGCTGCATCCAGGCACTGGGCTCAGAGTTTTCACAAGCGCCATTTCCTTCCAAGGCACCCACGAGAACAACTTCTGGCCCCATTTACGGGTTGAGCTGTGGGTGGAGGCTTCCTCACACATCTCCCTCTCATAGAGAGGCTGAGCCTACAGGATGCCCAAGCAGACCACAGGGTCATCACAGCATCTCTAGTGAGGAAGCCAGGGGAGATTCTCTTCCAAGACATTCCAAGACTCAGGGATGGAGAACAGCAAGGGATCCATCAGGTCACTAAGGATCAAGTTGAAGAGGACAAAAGGAAAGACTCCTGTAAAACTTACTGTGTCGGGAGTGTCCAGGGAGAGCTGTCTGATATGTACTTCCAGGCTGTCACTGACTCTGTCTGCCCCAACACCTCCCTTCTCTAGCTCTGAACTACAGGTTTTACAATAGGGCCAGCTTTCTGGCTGGAACCACATGGCCTCCCAGTGCTGAGGCAGAAGACAGAAGGAGATAGCATAGGGCCAGGGTGGGATCCATCTGGACCTTCTCAACCCCAGCAGCCCCTGAGTGTCCCCTCAGCATTCTTTGTAGGCAGGCACTGCCCAGGAGCGTTCTTTCCTAGAAGCAGAAGGAAGGAGTCATCTGTCCATCACCTTGGTCATCTTCAGTGCTAATGAGAGGATCCTTCCTTGGGGCATAGTGCGTGTATACATGTAAAAAAAAGTCACACGAGGGAAGCCCCTTCTCCCTGAGCCGGCAGACAGACTCTAATTCCCAAACTTGCCTTTTGGAAGGAGCATTTAATTTCTACTTTGTTTCTATTTTTCTGTTACTTCAAATTGACCCCTTGGACAAAGGCAGCAGGGAACTTCCTCTCTGTCTTACCTTTTTTGTTTGTTTGTGGTTTTTTTTTTTTTTTCTTTCCTCTTCTAAACACAGCCCGTTTTTGCTTGGGAAGTTATTTTCCTGCTTGATAAGCTGTGGATAGAGAAAGGATGGTTAAAAAAGAAAGTGATGTATGTTTTCCCACTCTAATTAAAGGAGAAGGTAAATCATAGAATAAAGACCTGGTACAAGATCCCCACAGCTTGGCCCATGTCACTCTTCCCCTGGCTCACACTCATGTGAGCAGCCCGGCTTCTCCCCATTTTCAGCTTCAGTCCTCAGTTTGCCTGTTCTTACATGACACTCAGAAATCAGAATGTGAGAGGTTAGAAGCAGCTTGTCTTCAAAGGAAGCTTTGGCTCTGACACTGTCTAGTCCCGTTTCTTGGTGTCAATCTTCATTGGAGAGAAATCTTTGCCACCCCCTGCAGGGGAATGATTTTCATGTGTTTCCTTTCTTTCTTTCTTTCTTTTTTTTTTTTTTTTTCAATTTATTCATTTTATGTGTACACCTGCCAGAGAGGGAATCAGTTCACATTATAGATGGTTGTGAGCCACCATGTGGTTGCTGGGAATTGAACTCATGACCTTTGGAAGAGCAGACAGTGCTCTTAACCACTGAACCATCTCTCCAGCCCTCATGTGTTTTCTTACTGGCTGTAGGTGAAGGAGAAGTCTTGAATAACACTGGGGAGAAATAATGCAAAGGGCAACTTTCACCTCTACTTTCCGAAACTTAGAGGCATCCCTCTTTTTGGAGTCCCTCTAGGTGCTCTGATCCCTGTCCTCTTCAATCTTTGGAGCCAGCAAAGGATCTCGCTGGCTTTGATGTTCATGGTGCCAGGGTGAGACTCTGAGGGGAAGGAGGTCTGGGAAGCAGTTTCCCTACGTAGAAGATGGGCCTGAGCTGTGACCCCACACACACACACACCAAGCAGAAGATGAGCTCCCTGTCCACTTTCTGATACTCATTTGACTGCCCCCAGACCAGTAAGAGCTTACATTCTGGATTCTTTAGCAAATAGTTTATCAACTCTATGGGTGCTGGCATGGACAGATGAAGAAGAGAAATCGGAATATTCATTTTCCTGGAATATATTACTCTGATGCAAATGTTCTGTGGGAATTGGCCAGAGAGACATAGTAGGATGAATCCTCCTGACGCTGCTCCTTGTTATTTTGCACACTGGCTTTCTGTTTGGGCTGCTAAATTTTTCTTCCATCTGACTAGGCATGCCTACATCTCTTTCCACATTTCAATGTGTATATCAAAATATGTGTAAAATATATTTTTTTCTATTACCCATTTCTGCTCTCAAATAATGACACAGAGACCCATTACATTTATTAATAAGTTTTAAAGCACTAAGCTGGGCAGATACCCATCTATTCTAACCCAAATATGCTAGTCTGTACTTTTCCCCAGTCATACGCCCTTTTATCTGCCATCTAGTCTCACCCTGGCCGCTGCTCCTGCTCCATGTTTGTCCTCACGGCGACTCCCTCATTGTGACCTCCTCCTCCACCTTCTCTTCTTTGTTGTCCCTACCTGAGATCCCCTGACTAGGATAGGAAGTCCCCCCTACTGTCCTTTCTGCCAGCTATAGGCTGTTCAGCTCTTAATTAACCAATCAGAGCTGATGGCGAACAATTTTTACACAGCACTGAGACAGGAGATTCTTTATAGAAATGGCAATGCCCACGTCTGCACTGCATCCAGATCTCAGGGTGCAGAAATCGGCATCTGAATACATAGTGCACAAACCATCCCCCAACAAATATGTGTATGGGGTCACTTTGCTTAGTGTCTGTAGTTTTTCCTTTTCTTCCTTGTCAAGATTTTTCATCTCTGCCTAAAACTCAGAGGGATTTCTGTGCACACTTGGCCTGCCCGTTCTGCCATCTTACTGGCTCGTCTGGTTCATGCTCCTCTCTGACCTCCTGTAAAGGTCCTACTGTGGTCTGTCCCCCGAAGGGCACTTCTAGGTGGCTTTAATCTAAAGTTTTAAGCTTGCCCCAAGTTCTAAGAACGTTTCCCTGATAACGCTCCTGTGTTTCTTCTCCCTGTCTGTTAACATGGGACATGTACCTGGTTTCTGGGCTGATTTACGGTTGTATTAGGGAAAAATCTACCAAGGATATAAAATACAGTGTCCCATGTTTGGGCCCAATCTTACTCACTATCGGTGATTGCAAGTGCATTTTATAACCGTGCACCGAATCAAAATCAAGATGATTTGTGCGTCAATCTCCCGGATAAAAATCAGGGCGTGCTCTCCTGCAGTCTGACCTTCCTACTGCCTTTGCTGGTGCAGCTTGTACCGTGTGCCTTGGACAGTTATCAGAGATGGCCGAGGAGCCGCTAGCCTTGGATCGCCAGCTGT